ATTGCCTGTGACGTGAAGCGCCAAATGAGACTTGTTCTCTAGAAGCGATGGGTGACAATATGCTGGGTTTCAGTTTAATTTCTATAATGGATCTATTTTAGCCTAATTCTAAAGATGCAGTGTCACCCAAGCAGTGAGCACCCCTAAAGTTTTCACGTGACCTAAGAGCAGTATTAATCGTTAACGCATTTTCATGTGTAAAGTGGCAATATACCACCCCCTGTGACTGGTGTCTCTCTGCGTCTGTGTAAGCAGTGACTAGCAAAAGTAAAAAGACGACTGCCTGTTGATGCACTGCTCCCGAGATATCTGTAGATTATTCGTCTGCATGCAGGGATTAAAACCTGTTTCCATTAAGCTCAGTGATATGTCATTCCTAAAAAAAAAGAGAGAGAGAGAGAGAGAACTGCCTTTACTGAATTTCACCGTGGGGAATACTAGTTTTGAGCATGCATCAAAAAACAAGTCTGGAGTTGCTAACTCCTGCTAGCAGCTTGGTTTCAGTTTGTTCTGTACTCTGACAACTCGGGTATTAGGCTGACTTACATCTGTATTAAGTAGAGTTCTCTCTGCATTGTTTAACCATAAAGGGGCACAGCGTTTAAGTGACACTTATCTCCAGATAACTTGCATTTTGCGCAACCTAATGCAAGTCACTGACTACAGCAATAGTCACTTGACTCTTGTAATCATTCAAGACATAATCCAGCTCTTCTTATTGCAAGTGGTAGGAAAAAAAATAGGTACCTAAATTTTAAATTACTTTTAATTTTGAAGCATTATTCTGCTATTGTAGTTTCCAAATATGTACCAAAAAAATTAAGCAAATTAGTTTGTCTCATCATAAGTAATTAGAAGCCAATAGTTTTCTTAAACCTAGTATGTTGGAACATGGATGGTGGAGTTAGGAGCGCCATATTTCACAAGCTCTGAACTGACAAAGAAAGAATAAAAAGTCAGTAAAAGCTCTTTGCTGACCAAAGACACTTGGAGAAAATTTTACTTGTTATTTCCAGTGCTGTTGATGACCTCAAATCATCTGTCTGAAGTTGGTATATAAGAATCGAACAGTGAAAGTATTTAGCGAGGCCTTGTTCTCTCTGCCAGCTGTACCACAAGACACACACAGCTACTACAAGTGGCAGTTAATTTAGATTTTTAGAACAATTAATGCCCTTTGATTACTTTCAAGACCGGCCTCAAGGTGCAGTCCTTCCATGTCATACACTGGGGGTGTTGTTTTTTCATCTTTCCTCTTTTCCATGCTTTCCACATTTCTTTCCTTGCTTTAAGTAAGTGGCTTTCAGTCTGAGGGCCTGGAGTCACCTAAATTGACAGAAGTTTGCTCTTAAACCAACAAAAAAACCCCATATAGTAACAAAATAGCTTATATGTAATAAGGGAAGTTCATAAGGGTTTCCAAGTGTGACTTTTCTGAGAAATGTGCCAATATGAAGTATGGTTCAGAATAAATACTTATCCCTTTATAGATGGAACAAGTCTTCAACGTCAGTTGCTGCATTGCTTCTCCTTTCTACTATTTCTTCTTCCTTGCTACAGGTGCCAACACTCTGGGTGTTTCTTTCCTTACACTAAGTGGCTTTCAACTCAAGAGTTTGGAGTCATCCACTTCCTAAACAAGAACTTGAAGTCTGACTTGTTGTTTGGGGTTTTTTAGCCCTGCCCACTGCAGTAGGTACCACAGCTTCGGCGGACATTTGAGAGGGGTCCTGAAAAATCAAGAAAGCTCCCATCATCACATGGGATGGATGACCTAGCAGATCTTTTCTGTATTTAAAATGTGTGTTGTGCTGATGCTGTGCAAGTGCATTCACATGGGCCCCCAAAAATTACAAACTAGAATGATAGGAGAAATAGAGACCTTTAGTATATGGTACTGTGTTCGGCTTTTAATCTCCAAGGTCTCAATGCTTCAGTTTAGAGTGTGTACTTGCTTTTTCTATCCAATGGATTTGCTTTCTAATTTAGGAACTATTCTTTTCTTTTTTCCTTCCAACTTCTACCTTAACGTGGCATAATCAGACTGTTTGTTTGTGTTATTTCTATCACTTAAAGACCCAGACGCTTATTTTTTCACCTCTGTAGCATCTTTGTTTCACTGCCTGGAACATAGTAACCAGGTCTCATAATACCCTTGGAGGGACAGACTGTGATCTGCTTTCCTCTGAGCTCTCTGAGCTCTGCAGAACCAATAGGAAAAGTGGCAACAGTGGCTCTCAGAAAATAAATGAGCAAGAAAGTGATCCTTCTCTAGTGAGTTTTCAGGATGGAGTAAGCTGAATTGATCAAGTACTATTAGACTTCCAAGTTTTGTAGTTGCAATATCGTTGTGTCAGGACTTTGCACCTAAAATTCACATGTGCGTGTTTAGATGACCAGAATATACGTGAAATGTTAAGAAGTAATACGTAGGTGAGCATTTGTAGGGTGGCAGTCACTTTTGTCCTTCACACGTCTGTGGTGCTGTAAGTATTGCAGTGATACAGCTGAAGTTCCACAGCCAGTGAGTGTGCCTGGAGTTTGGGGCTATGTTGTTCCCTTGCTGGTCTCGCCCTCTTAGACCTGGTGGTCTTCCCCGTTGTGTTTCAGCCATCCGGCTGATACAAGCTGTAAAGTTCTGACTCGCAGTGTTTCAGTAGCGGCAGCTTCATGATACGCTCGTCAGAGATCTCGAACTTCCATTGATTTTTCAACCAGCATTTTTTTTTTCCTCCTGCGACGTCAGACAACTGGAAGCAGCAATTTGTAAAAATTAGGCCACTCAGGTTTCTATATATAGCAGCTCTCAGATCCCAAGAAAGCCAGTACTCTCATCTAGTCTGTTTTTAGCCATCAGTGTTTGTAAACTGATACTAACAGAGTTGGTCTTAAGTAGAATTTTAAGTGCTGTCACATTGGGTTTTTTCTCTGCTTGCTATTTCCAGCTTTTTTTCTCTTTTTGGCATTTTTATTTCAATTAAAAGTAATTGTCTCTCTTTCAGCCCCTTTGCTTTTTTCTTTTTCCTAGTAATGAGTTGACCTTCAGCAAAGGGAATTATGGTCATAACATTACCGAGAAGCACCTGACTCGCATCAAAATCAAGCTGGTTTGATGTCAGTCAGGGAGACTAGTTTCAGCTTTAGGGTTCTGTCCACACCATTTCTCATAAATTAAACGTGAGGATCTCCATATATTGAGGTGATTTTTTTAATTTTTGTTTTAAATGAAACCAATTACTTTTTTATTGACAGCATGGGGGGGTGAGAAGGGGTTAAAGAAAGAGTCTGACTGATGGAGTAGGAAAGGCAGAGTGTAACTGTGGCAGGTGTTAGAAGAGTTTATGAAGTTAACTGCTTCTGGTTTATCTATTTACTCGTAAAATAACATTGTTTGACTTCTTTTATATACAGCAGAAAAGATTGTGAAAACTATTCCTTGCCCTGAGGGTTTATGAATATAGTTTTATTTGGTTTATTTGGTGACGCACCCCCTGCTCCCCCAAAACCAGTCTGTTTCTCCTCCAGAGATGCCACCTGAGTGCTCACAGCTGCAAAAGTAGCACGCATACAGCAAAAAGCTATAGTTTTACTTTGATGAGAAGTGGTGGAACAGGTTACCCTTACCACAAGAGTTACAGCCATTCTCTCGTCCTGCTGGCCTGATAAAAGAGTGAGACCTAGAAACATGCTTTTGTAACATGGGATCATTGCATGGAGAAGAAAGGAGTCGCTGATCTACTTTATTCACATTCTTCATATTTTATGCTGCTGGTTGAAAAAAATAATGCTTTCCATATGCATGCAGCAATACAATTTGCATTCATGAGGGTAGAAATGGGAACATACTTGAAAATCTTGCATTTAATTTAAGCTTTCTTTGGTTCGCTACGGGCTTCTTCATTCATTTGTATATGTATGCTGTTTTCACTCACAAGTGACTGAAATAAAGGAAGGAGGGATTTAAGAGCAGCGGCTTTGTACATGGAATATGTTTTTCCCCGTGGTGACAGGCTTCCCGTGTGATGACCGGCAGGCGCCCCAGTCCGTGCCTCGGCCCCACGGCTGTGCAGTGAGGTTCGGGGCAGCTGCCAGCCTCTCGCACGCGTGGAGAATCCCATCTCTGCCTGTGCGGTTCTGGAGGTCAGCCAGGGGAGCAAGTCTCTGAACACTTCTTGCCCTGCAAGACTGGCCAGTAATTATCCTTAGAAAACCCAGATCCTTAGTTAAAATGTATTTGAGATCAAAACTATTGCTATAAAGTTGCAGGTGGCTACCCTTTAAACTCTCCAAAAGCTTAACAGTGAAGGGGTACTTAAAGGCTAGTGTTGCAAGTTTGCGCTTTTTTTTTTTTTTTATCTGCTCATTACTGGCTCTACACTTGTATTTTTCTAATGTTATTCCTAGATCTTTGTATTTGGTGGAATCTGAGCCTGTAACCTGACCATAGATGTTAAATTTTCAGCTGAATAAACTTCTGATTTTGGGCACAGATTAATATCCATAGCTTTTGTCTGTCTGTTTAATGAGCCGGTCTTACCTACGTGCAGTCTGTTGCTGGCACAGAAGGTCAGAGGCTGGCAATCCCATATCAGTCTGCTTTGGCCCTTTTTCTCTTGCACATAACTACGGTGAGCATTATGGTGTCTAACTAAAGTTCATGTGGCAGGCAACTCCCATGTATGGTGTCACTAAAAATATGTCTTGGGAATGCTTATTGGAGTGGCTACCAGCACACAGTAATTTTCTACATACTGTGCAACCTTCCCTCAAAAGATACCTGGTATTTCTTTTATTAGTAGTTCATGTTGTTTCATGTAACTGTTTTAGGTGATCTGGCCTTGTCAAGAGACTGATCAGCTTTTTAATCACTGAATTAAGTCTTTGATACCTTGTAGAATTATTCTGTTAAATCCTATGTAGAAAACTAGAAGACTAGCTTCTGCGCTTGTATTCAGGACCAGCGATCTTACATGGTGTATCGGTAAACTTCTCTCTTTCAGGCCACTGTCATGAGAAAAATCCTGATCACAGTCATGACAAGGAGAAATACTTTGGTGACCACCACGAGTCAGTTACAGCAGTGGCAGAAGGACACTCTGAGGGAGGTACAGAAGATCCAGAAGTCCTTACTCAGAGTTCAGCAAGGGATCCTTCCTTCTTGAGACTGGAAAGTAAGTCAGCCTTACAAAATCAGTGCTGGCAAACGAATTGGCTTTTGGTTTTTTTAGAAGAACTGTCTTCCTCTAAGAAGCTATGTTTCCCCCCCCGCCCCCGTCTGTAAAGCGACAAGTAACCCTTAAAACCGGTTTCATTCTGTTAACTGTTCATCTTCTCCAAGTCTAACGTCAAAATGCATTAAATCAAAAAATGAGATCAAGGTTAGATACTTTCCAAGCTGAAGGATGTAGTTTCTTGTAAGACACTACAAACACATGTTGGTTGTACCTCAGTGAATTCTGTATCAGCTGTGCCAGACAGAAGGAAAGAAAAACAGTGTCTGTGGTTAAGGTACAGAGCGCTTTATTCAGTGTTTAATGCACATATGTAGAGAAAAGACACCACCTGTTTACTCCCTTAAACGGGCAGAATTCTAGTTTGGAAAGGAAACTGATGAAAGTGGTCTAGAGATGTTGATATTTGAAGCAACAGTTGATGCTTCTTTGCAGTGGGGAAGTCTGCATTCTCTAGTCCCCCTCTCAATTTGCAGCATGCAGTGAGTAGTGAGTGATACTTGGTTTGTGCAAGTGGAAAAGACAGGTTGCAGAAAAAAGATCCTTTTTTATATGATTTGTGGAAGCAGCAGGAAGAGAATGTTTGACATTTTTACGATATTTGCTCTTAGATGCAGTCACTGCAGAAAGCAACGGTTCAGAAGGAATGGAGGGGTTAGAAGATGATCAGATGTCTGAAGAGATGCTGGCTTTGGTGGATGAGTTTGAAAACTCTTGGCCTCAGGAAGCTTTTGAAGGGGCGCTGGAGGTAAAAGGTCGTCGGATGGACTTGCAGGGAATCAGAGTCCTAAAGAAGGGATCTCAGGATGGACTGGCTAGCTCCTGTTTTGGGGACTGTGGTGATGATGATGAAGCCGAATGGGTAAGTTTGGATGAGTTTACTTAAGTCTTGTACTGACTTACTATTGTGGAGGAGGGAAAGATGAGGACAGTTCATGCAAGCCACAAACTGAACAAGTAGCTTTAACCCATCTTGTAAAGGAAAGGCTTCCGCATCACTAAAACTGACATCATTTAGTCTGAAGAAAAGGAGGCCAAGGGGAGACCTTATTGCTCTCTCCAACTGAAATGAGGTTGTACTGAGGTGGGTGTTGGTCTTCTCTCCCAAGTGCCGAGTGATAGGACGAGGGGAAATGGCCTCAAGTTGTGCCAGGGGAGGTTTAGATTGGACATTAGGAAACATTTTTTCAGCAAAAGGGTTGTCAAGCATTGGAATGGGCTACCAGGGAAGTGGTCGAGTCCCCATCCCTGGGGGTATTTAAAAGACAGGCAGACGAGGTGCTTAGGGCCATGGTTTAGTGGTGGGGTGGCAGGGTTAGGTTGGACTTGATGATCTTAAAGGTCTTTTCAAACCTAAACAATTCTGTGATCATAAGTCTTGATTATCAGCAGCACGGGCTTAGGTGTTGGATGATGCTGGGTGCCTTCAAACTTTTTGCTTACAGTTACAAAGGAGAAAAGTTTCTAACCAAAGGTTCCAGTTAGCATGAAAAAAATGAAATACCTGTTGTCATTGTGTTACAAACAAAATATATAATGAAAAATGCCTTTCAGTTCTCTAGCAATTAAATTGGTTTTCTCTTATGTTGAAGATTGAAGCTCTGTACTTTGTTTGCATGGTGTGATGCAGCAAAAGTGTGCAGGCTTAGAGAATGGGTTGAGAAGGGAAGGGAGGGAGAGTGAGAAAGATCTCATCTGTAACATCTTTGAAATTAAATCTTTGGGCTAAAATAAGTAGTGTATTGGGGCTGATAATGTTTGTGCTGTTTCTTACTGTTAACCTTACCAATACTGTTCTTTTGGTAGATCACTTTTCAGGTCAAACGTTTAAAGAAACCAAAAGCTGAAAGTTTGGATCTCCAGGAGCCAGCTGGGAGAAACGGGGAAGAAGGGACTAATGGAGAAAATGAAAACTTTTACCAAACTGCCCTGGAGATCAGTGGACCAAAGATACCTTCTCCTGGACCAATAGGTAACCTGCTGCTTCTAGAGAAAGCAGGTCGTTTGCAGCTTTTATATTACATTGGTTTATTACCATAAATATGCATCACAAAGACTATGTAGTGTGAAATATGCCTTCTAGATGAGTGTGTGGAAAAATTAGAAATCTCTTCTATCTGCACCCTCTTCAGGAAGTGCAACATAACTTTATCTGCTGAATGAAAACTTTCTAATCAATTCCCAGAACTTTCTGGGGATGAGGTGGTAAGAGTGGAGAATGAGAGGGGTAGATACTGTGAGTAGAAGTAGTAAAGGAGAGGGGGGGTTAGTGGCCTTTTTCTTAAACTAACTCAGCTGCCCATTCAGTTTTAATCAGATGAGACACACCCCTTCAGGGACAAATGCAGGATGATAGCTTGAACTGATTACTGACTAAACATAAGACACAGAGCTCAAAAGCAAAAGGCAGGAAACTTGGTCTAATAAAAATAAAATTTCAAAAAGAAGGTATTCTGCTGTAACTGGTTTGGTGGTATTATAAGAAAAAACTTAGAGACTGTCTTCCAGAAGGCTGGAGTTACAGAAGAGTAGAGTTTTGCAGCAACACACATGAGGCAGTTTGGAGAGAGTGGTGGAGTTTTTGCTAATTGAGTAACAGGAATTGGAAAGTGGTTTATTATTATGGTGCAAGGTAGTTCCACTGGTATGTTCAGGTGGACAGAAATCATCAGCAGGTGATTGCTTGGCATGAAGTTTAGAGCTGCTGGAACCTAATGATGCCAAAGAAGAGAACAAAACCAATTGGCCCCCATACCTCTTGTCTTGTCTTGATTTCAGTGTAGGTAAAATCTTTGTCATAGGGCTGATGTGTAAGCAAAGATGGGTTCTTCAATACATTTTAGTCCTTGACAATCCGATGCCCTAGAAAGTGATTTCACATTTTCAAGGCTTTTACATTAAATCTTTAAACAAGCTCCTTTTTTAGCAACTGACAAATGTAAGTTACTGAATTAATTATTTAAATGAGGGGAGGGATTACATGAAAACACACTACCATTTATGAGCACACACTTGTCCTTTCCTTGATTTATCTTCTCTCCCCTGAGCTACTTTTGTGGCTGTATTACCTAGCATCCCTCGGTTGTAAAGTAGTTATCTTCCTAGTGCTCCTGTGAGGCAGGGTTCGCTGACATCCCCTTTACAAGAATTAAATCATCAAAAGTTTAAGTAACATATTGGAGGTCACCTGGGGAGTTCCTGGTAGAACAGGGAAATGATGTCCTGTGTTTGACTGCCTCTCGGACTATTGAACTGTCTCTGTGTAGTGTTTCCATGCTGCTCGCTATCTCTTGCCATTCACGCAGATAAGAACACATGATCAGATAGTTCACAGTGGTGGTGATGAGAACTAATCATTCCCCTCTGAAGTTTACCAGTCTTTCTCAAAGTTAATTTTCCTTTAATCAGAATACTTTACAAAAGACATGGTATTACAGACGTCATCATTATTGTGTAAAATTATGGTGAAGCATTTTACTATACCTTGGATGGGAAATAGGATTTGCATCCAAATGGGCAAGATTTCAGGTAACTAGAAATAAATACTGAAATACTGCCTACGTAGCTGGTGCAATAGCCTGGCACGTTGTTAAACTTGGCTTCCCACTGTGCAAATTTACGGCTGCAATGAATTTTTCTTATGTTCCAAACAGTTTGGATGTTTCTGATATGAGAGGAAAATGTTTCCTAAGAGTTAACACAAGCTGGATTCCTAGGACTTGGTACAGTATCCACCAAATGTAAGGGAAAGATTTCAGTAGGCTTTGGTTCAAATGGGTAGATCAGGTTCTTGTTTCTCCCAGTGATCTATTTAACATAAAGCAGGTTGTTTAACCTTTCCCTGCCTCGGTTAACTTCTCTGCAAAATGGGAGGGCTGAAGTGTAATTGCTTAATAGTTTCAGAAATGTTGCTACCTTGAGTGCAAGAATGCTGTAAAAGCCACTGTCTGTCTTAAACAGCATTCACTGGAAAGAAACGGCAGTATTTTTCACCTGGGATTGTCAGAAGATGGAGCAATCAACTTTTATTAGTTTTTACTGTAGCTGTAGAACATAAATGATGACTCACTTATGAACTTTCTTTAAGGACATTTAAGTAAAGACATTAACTGTAAACAAGAGTGGTGATTGTTCTTAGTGTGTAGCTATCGAAAAAATGTAATGAAACAGGTTTTAAAACTCCACCTCCTAATCTGTCTTGCGTAGGATCCAGTTCTGTCTTTGGATCCCACAAGTTTCATTCCGTACATTTAGGTTCAGGAATGTTCTTAAAGAAATGTGGCTGCAGGACCATGACTTCTATAACGCAGGGAATGTATCCACTGGTATGAAGTATTTTGTAAATCATTGTACTGAAGTAGAATGTCTTTCTGCTTTTTTTTTCTTTTCTTTTTTTTTTTCTTTCTCTCCTTTCTTAAGGAAAAAGGCGTGACTATCGTAGCCTTGGCTGGCCAAGCCCTGATGAATGCCTGAAACTCCGTAGGGTAGAGCTTACAACTGTAGCCAGCACATGGCTTGCTGTTTCTGCTAAAAACATTGAGTAAGTATCTTGTATATGAACCTTAGATAAGTTACTCACACAAAGCAAGACAGTTACATGTCCTTCAGCGTGCATAAGCTGAAGATTTTAGTGTTCTTTAAAGTAAGAAAGAACTGCCAGGATTTCAAAGACGTTTGAAAAGATTATGTAGTATTTCATCAATAGACTTGCAAAGAAGAGTGCAAGTGCAGGTGGAAGATCCAGTTTCTCTTGCTCCTTGAGCTACTCAGATGAGATTATGCCAGGTTCTGGGCAGTTTAACAGTCACTAGAGAACTTTGTAATGATTCTTCTGGGTTTTTTTTCTCCTGGCTGATTCAACTTGTTTTATGACCTTTGTAGCATTACAGAACACATTGATTTTGCCACGCAGCTGCAAGAACCAGCCATGGAGCCCCTTTGTAACCCAAATCTACCAGCCAGTATGCATACTTTGGACCACCTGCAAGGTGTCTCTAGTCGGGCCAGCTTGCATTACACTGGAGAAAGCCAACTGAAAGAGGTATGCCATAGTTGAAGGCTGTTACACAAAAATGGCTGTACCATGGCAGACTCAAGGCACATTTAGCTCAGTGCCGTGTCTCTGGAAGTGACCTTCAGTGAGTGAATGCCTGGATAAAACTGTAAGAGCAATGCTAGCTGAAAGCAATATTTTACCAGAATGTTTTCCCAGCTATCTACAATCTGTCCTGAGGGAAATCCTAAAACACTGTTAATGTCTTTGTATTTATAGCTCTTGATGGATGAATTAGTGAAAGAAAGTCCAACTGAGCTTACGTAAACTTCTACCATTCTTAGTATTCAGTGGCACAGAGTTATAACGCTGTGTGGTGATACAGATAGTATTAACTCAAGATGGAAATGTTTAGGTTGGAACAGGTTACAGCATTTGCAAAAGGCTGGGGAAAAAAGCAACCAACAAGCAAGGGGCATCACTTACCCCGTCCCAGCATCTAAGCACTTGTTCTTCCTCTTCCACAGGTGCTACAGAATCTTGGCAAAGACCAATATTCACCACAGTCATTAGAACAAGTTGGTACTCGAATAGCCAAAGCTTTGGAAAAGGTATGTGTAAATGAGAAAAATGAAAAGTCTGGGCTTACTGTTCATGACTGATCTAGTGGTCAATCCAGTCTCAAACAGTTTGTCTGAAATCCCAGTCGAGGAACGTATTAGTACTTGGACTAGAGATTTGTGTCTATTCAGCAATCTGTAATGGCCTCACAGGTATTTTGTTGAGCTGTATCCTGTGCTTACGCTGTCAAGTGTCTTGCATATCTCTCTATAAAAACCTAAGCTTATCAAATTTCCCAACATTTCCAGCCCTGTAGCGAGCAGTGCTCCTGGTCGTTGATATATATTAAACTATTGCAACAGTTCTCAGCCCTCCTCTTTCTTTTTGTGCTACGTTGACTCAGAGCTTATGGAAAGTTGAGTTAAGCCATGGCTCAACTCTCTAGTCTCACTCCTGGCTTGCAGTGGTCGGATAGCTGACAGGCAGGGGCTTCCTCTCTTCTCTGCCTGCTTCATTTTACCTTATGCAGTGTTGGGCTGAAGTGTCAGATGCATTCAGGCACCATATGCAAGGCTGCACTTCTGTTCTCCCCAGAGAAAGCCAAGTTTCCTCCCTAGATTAAGGCTGCTAAGGACCTCAGCTGAGGTCCTTAGGAGGAAAAGATTAGGGACATAATTTTCTGAGGATTTTCTGAGGATCTATAAGGTAGATAAGGATGCAGGGATTGTTGTTGTATGTTTACAGCTAGTGGGGAGGGTATCTGGTACTATAAAAAAGAGGGCTCAGCCAAAACAGTGTGGTGCCCCTACCCTATTCTACCGAAAGCCATCTGAGGAACTTACTGTGCTTTGAAACTAAAGCCAAAATAGCTTTGTCATTCCCGGACAGTAAAGACGTTACTCGTATGCTCATGTTACAAAATGTAGTTTCTTTTCACATTAGGTATATACTAACTTCTTTCTCTCACATGCTACAGTTCACCCTGCAGACAGCAAGCTTTATCCAAATAAGCTGAAAATTTAGTGCTGAGACCAGAAACAGAATTCTCAGTAAGGCTAGCTGTGCTGGAAATAAAATGCAGTTCTTCTGTCTACCAGTCTTATTCAGTATTCACAAGAGCTAATCAAACAAATCAAGATGGCTACTTATCTAATTGCATATGTGAGCATAAACATTCATTTACTATATCTGAGTCCACAGAATTCAAGCACGTAGTATTTTCTTTTCTAACACATGACGTGGGAGTCAGCCAACTTGAGGCACCAAACTAATCAGCTGGGCTTGTCAGGCTTCTGCTCTGAGCTGCGTCCCAGAGCATCGTTTCTCTTTCCAGTGACTACAGAGAGCCTATGAGTCCAATCAGCTAACTTAGCTAAATTTTTTGCTTTATGTTGGGTAATGTGTATACACATCTAGATGCCCAGCATCAGACAGCTGGTTAGAAGCTGTTGTGGCTGCTGAAACTAGTTGCTGTTTAAAGCTCTTTAGCTGCTATTCTTTTCTTAAGAAAATAATGTTGCATTTAGAATTCGTGTTTCATTTGGCAATGTCTACCTGGCTATTGTGTATATGTTGTTAGATAAGAAACATTTTGCTGCTTTGAAATAGTTTAATGCTATTATTAAGTGTAACACCCTCTAACTAAATCTATCAAATAAATTGGAAGAGTGAAAGGCAGGACAATTGTGCACTACAGGTGTTTATATGACTGGTTTTTGTGTTCTTTTGCCAGAATCAGACTTCATGGGTCCTCTCTAGCATGGCAGCTCTTTACTGGAGGGTGAAAGGCCAAGGAAAGAAGGCAATTGATTGCTTACGGCAAGCACTGCACTATGCACCCCATCACATGAAGGTGTGTACACATGCCCACTACTCAAGATTAAATAATGTTTAGCTTGTCATAATGGAGCTTTCACAGACAATTAAGGCCAACAATGTGTAATGTATTAGATATTAGCTAGTAGTGGTGAAACCTCAAGACTTTCACCACCTTGTTTAGTGTGGACTGTCTCTTTTCAAAAAGACAACTGCAAAAGAGGTTCAGTGGAATTTCCTGCGCTTCAGTGGGTTTAACACCTCTAGGCAACGCAGGCTTTAACTTCCCCCTGTTAGGTAGGACTTGGAATCTTGATCAGCCTTTGTCTCGACAAGTCTTCTAACTTAAGATGCGGGGAGTATATTTTCTTGTTGTGCTTTTAAAGAGGGGAGGAGATGATATCTAAACAAAGAACTTAAATGCTTAAATCTTAAATGTTTGAGTTGTGAATCTAAGCTGGACATTAGTGCCTGACTTGTGCAGCAGTTCTGTGCTTTACTCCAAAAAAGGCAGTACTTTGGACATAATCTTCTGTTCCATGTGTCTGTTGACTGAAGTGCGTAGTACCCTTCACCTTGCGACGTGGTATGCTGAGCGTTGTAATGTCGATTCTTATCCCCTCTGCAAACTGGTAGATGCAATATAGGCTCCTCACTCAACATTGCAGGTTTCACTTTGGGACCTGAGCAACAAATTGTGCAGCACTGCAAAATGTATGCTCCTTTTTGAATCTTGGTCTTAAGTCCTCCTCTGAAAATCGAGAGGCAAAGCACTTTACACTCTCAGGATATTATTAGGAGGATTTAGCCATTAACAGTAGAAATGCCTCAACTCATAAATGCACATCCTCTGTATCTATGTCCCCTATAATTCTGTCTCTTTGCACTTGTCCTTTTAGAACAAGGTTGGAACCAAGATCTAGCGCAACAAGCTCTTGCTTATTTTCCTGTCTTGCTATGTAACTGGGAATGGTTCCTCAGAAATGGCACCCTTAACTGTGTGACTTGTAAGGGTCAGAGTATGGATTGGAAACTACAGTGTGGCAAGATTACGGTGTAGTAGTGCTGTTTTCTAGAAATGTGATATAATGTTGCTTGGGACTGGCTGACTCTGAATTTGTGCCTTGTTTTTATCCTCCATACTGAAGCTGCCTGCAGAGAAAACTGTGGGTCTTGTTTGTAAAGATACAGCTACAGCTTGAACTCAGTGAGAGGTAGCACTGAATGAACAGCTATTTAATACTGTGTTTTATCCTCCTCTTTGGTTTTATGCACTCTCGCTACTTTCACTTGCCTTTTCTCATGTAAATAAAAGGTAATTAATTTTCCTGTGGGCTTTTTTTTTTTGTGATTCTGACTTCCATAATATCTGCTTTGCAAACACAAATGACTTAACCACCAAAGGTACTCCTTGCCTTGTAGAGATCAAGGAGGCAGGGATCAAATACATCCAGAATTTTTTATTGTCCTGTTGAGGGCACCTAAGACTTGCTACTAAGCAGTGTTTTGTCCTTTGAAGTTGTGAAGCCCAGCTCCCAGAAAGTCTGTTACGGCTGTCAGGGCTCAACAGTTTTGTCAGTCAGACAAGGTCACAGTCTGGGAATCCAGGAAATAAAAAACATACCATCAGTGTCTAGCTGAGAAAACTTGATTTATAGCTGTTATCCAGCATCATATAGGAATTCTATATCAGAGGCAGGATAAAACACAGTGCATGGGTTGCACTAATGGTTAGAACCTTTTTTCACTTCCCTGCTGTCCCCTTTTATTCATATTCCTTCCCCTTTCATGCAAGAGCTGAAGGAGGGTGGTCAAACAAACAGCTTTTCTTCTCTTTGAGAATGCGTCTCATCTTTGGGGAGAAAACTAGCATAAGAGCATCTAAAAATAAAGGTACATACTAGGAGGCTTAAGTGAGTTATTTTTTTAGCTGTTTGTGTATGCAACAGTAGTGTTTGTTACTATTGTGAGAAGATGTGTGTGTATGTGAGGGTTTTTTGTTTATAACTCCGGTCCAAATGCCCTTTTATAGTAAGGTCTGACTCATCACGTTCAAAGTCACCAGATAGTGGAGTAGGCAGTAACCAAGTGAGAATGGCCAGGTGATAGAGTCTTCTGTTTGCCGTGCTGGTGCTGAGACACTTTCAATGGAAAGAACCTCACTGTTTAGCTCTTGCTCTTCTCTTCCAGGATGTACCACTAATAAGCCTAGCAAACATCTTCCACAACGCAAAACTCTGGAATGATGCCATCATTGTGGCTACCATGGCAGTGGAAATAGCACCACACTTCGTGGTTAATCATTTCACACTGGCAAATGTCTACGTAGCAATGGTGAGTGTGCTGTCACCCAGTTATGTCTTGTCTTTAGTACTCTGTGTGTGTGTGTATATATATATATATACACAAAAATCTTATCCTCACAAAAAATTTTGGAAGAGCAGCATTCAAGAAATTGGGATAGGATCAACAAGACAGAATATTTTTTGAATGCCAAAACTCTTATTACTCATTTAGTACTTGAAGGCCAACATTTTTATAAGCTGGCTTCAGAATGCTGTCTGAAAAGCTTTGCTAAGACAGCAGCAAACAATTGAATAATTTTGGTTGGCTGCCCATCTAAACACAGGATATTTTTATAGTAGTGGAAAATTAATGATAAAATGCATCTCCTTCCTGAATAGCTGAGCTTAGCATAGTAAGTAAAACCCAGTTCACAGTTGCAATGAACAAGCACAAGGGAAGTTTAATTTCAGTATCTGGATTATCAACACCCGAATTAATTCACAGATTAAATTCAAATTTCTTTATACTGTCTATATATTCCAATCTGCAATTTAGCTTTCAGTGCTTACTCTGAACACAAAATGTTCATTCCTTTTATCTTAGTAATGCTGTATTGGTTCTTGTGTGTTTCATCCTTATCTTTAACAGGGCCAGTATATCTGAAGGGTAAAAGAGGCACCATTAAGCTGAGACGTAGCTGATATATATGTGTGTGTCAAAAGTATTTTCAATTACACGTGTTCTTATGTATCCCTGCCAGTTTTCAGTACTTGTCATAGATTTGTCCTTAATGTTTTGCTCCTGTGGTTGAGGGGATCACAGAGATAACAGGGCAAGTTGAGCAGGTAATCAGGTATTACGGCTATCGGAGTTGAAAAGAGTTGAAATGCAACAGTAATGTCAAACACACAATGGAAACAAACTGAAGAAAGGCATGACTTTGTTCTGTTAAGGTATTACTTCTGGCAGTTGTTTGAAAGAAATGAAGTAGAAGTTTGATGCTTGAGTTGCCAATGTCTTTTTAAAGTTAACACAGTGCCTAAGGATAAGTTCATTCTCCCTGGATCTGAGAGATATTTCAGTGAAGCCCCATATTCATTATACAAAACGACTGTAGCAACAGGACAAAACTTATCTTCTGGATCAAATTATTTTAACATAAAGACAAGTTAGTTTATTTACATCATATTTAACCTGCTGTATTTGAGAGCTGACTCTGACCAACAGGCTGTAGAAGATGTCATGCTAATTAATATTATAGCATCATAGAGGCCAAGGTTCCTTCAGTTTGCCTTGCAAAGGGGAAACGGTTGACCATGTTAAGGACTGAGAACTTTGGATGGATGCTACAGAAACTATTGATGTGGGAATCTAAAGGAACATCAAAACAATATCAGATCACAGCAAATGTAAATTACTACATCTAAAAATGGAAAAATCTGATGTTTGTTTTCATTGCTGTTTGTCAGTGTTCCCGCAAACTAATACAGGATTTTCTATGTAATCCCTGTTGAAACTGTATTAAAATACACTCTTTTTAAAAATTGAGACTTTACAACTCACATTGATCTAGTTAGCGTTTATAATATGGCTAGAAATGAGCGTTATCTCTACTGGACAAATAAAGTGACTGAGAAAAGGACCTTAAGAGAACAAAAGCAGTGTTGAAAGTGACTCAAAAACCCAGAACGTTTTGGGTCTCTTCCCCTCTCTTTTCTTCTAATACACTATTGGATGTTGGCATGCTTTCCTAGTTGATAAAAAGAGCTGAGTGGCATAGGTAATTAGATTTCAGCTGTATAAAAATAGATGTTCTTTCAGTGTGAATGCTTCTTACTGCCATTCTGGAGTCCACCTTATCAACTGAGATCATCTAGCTAGTGTATGCTCTTAAAGTTTTGTTTGTTTGTTGGGTTGTTTTACTTCGAGTAGTCTTTTAAAAATAATTTCAAGTTGTTTCTAAAAATGTTGGGTTTTCAGCAAAGTTGATGTTTTTGCATTGTCCAAGATTTTAAAGCTTTGATCTATGTAAATTCTGACTGAAATCTGTTTTTAGAAGTTACTTTTACAGCAAGAGTGCTAAGATCTACTATTAAAAGGAGAAGGCGAGAACATTGGTCAATAATGCTCAGCAATGGTTTGACTCTGTTCCATGGAGTATGCAAAACTGGGCCATTAGCTCAAGAAAATATCAGTTATTTGGGGGGCAGGGGGAAAAAAAAGTCCTAAACCACAAAGATTGGTTCCGTTACTTTTGTGCATACCATACTACTCAACTACTTAGGGCAGGAAAGGCATAGAAAATTTGTTTACTGTTTTTTAGAATCTGACTCTTTGCAATCTTCTTTCTTTACAGGAAGAGTTTGAAAAGGCGATGAAATGGTATGAGTCAACACTAAAACTTCAGCCGGAGTTTGCCCCAGCAAAGAATCGAATCCGCACCATTCAGTGTCATTTACTTATGAAAAAAGAGCGACGGTCTCCTTAGAGATCAGCATCTTTCTCTGTTTTTTAAAAATGTCATTATTCTCTATTCTGCTTTTAAGTGTGCTAAGATAAATTGATGAATCAAAATTTTTAACAAGACTTTTAAAAAGAGATGGGATTTGGATCAAGGGTTCTTTTATTATTTTTTTTTTTCTCAAATATAGGAGCATCTTTGGAAAATATATTTCACAAACATAATTTTGAAACATCTGTGTAAATATTAAACCAAGAAACTTCCATGAGTCCATGACCACCTGTACCAGGACCCAGGCACTGTTAGGTTTTCCTTAATGCTCAGATTGGCATCAGCATCCAAAATAACTTGCTTCATGCCTTATGATCCAAGTCAATGGAAACGCAAAGCACACACCCGTACCAAATCGTAAGAAGAGATAATCAGCAGCTCATCCATGTGAAACTCGCGCGTTGTCCAGTCTTGTTCACTCCATACCACATTACCTGCTTTTTTGGAAGGAGAGGGACAGGATTTAAAATGTTTATAAGAAATATTAGGAACATCAAGCATTTTTGGAATTGTTTATTTCTGTTGGGGGATGAGGAGGAAATGAGGAGGAGGGAACAGCAGGACGCTAAAGTTAAAGTGGTTTTTAATCTTGCAGGAAAAAAAAATTGCTAAAAATCCCAGTAAGATGTTTTATATTTGTCTATATATTCATAGCCCTCTGCCTCCCTGAACAGTTGATTTACTAATTCTTTGTTCACTGTATTTTTAGCCATTTCAGAATAAGGTGCAAGTTTATGCTCACTCTGAGCCATACTTTCAGCTGCCAAGGAGGGAGGGAGGCAGTATCAAGGTATTATCAGCAAATAAGTCAGGTGGAAGATTTCCAAATCAGTTCTCTCTTTGGTTGGTGGAGGACATGATTCTCCAGACATCATTGTTGAATCAACAAGGGCACATATTTGAAATAAAATTAATTGTTTATGAACAAAATACAGCTTCTCCTCTAATCTTTGCGTCATGCACCATTTGCAGGAGTCGAGGCTTGGGGTGCTGCAGCCTTTCCTCGGGAGCAGGCAGAGAGCTGGGAGGCAGGAAGGCCTTTAACACTCTTGATTAGACAGTGATTTTCTGTGTATCTGTGGAAAATCCCCTGCACCTCTGTGCCTGACTCCTTTTCCGTGGCAGAAGGGAGTAGGGGAAAGTTAACTAAATCAGCGGTCTGTCATGTAGCCTACCCTCCAGCTTTTGGTGTTAAACATACAGCTTAGTGCTTCTTTTTGAAGAACTAACAATGTTTATGAGCTTACTCTTTCTTTTCAATCTTTTTCCTCTCTCAGTGATGCAAATTAAGAGCACGTATGGGAGTGGGTGGAAACTATGACGTCTGTAATTTTTTTAATACTGTAACTTTTTACTTCATAAAAGGATCCCTGAATATTTTTATATATAATTGAAGATGAGCACTTCTAATGCAAATTTTACCCCTGTTTTACTGCGAGTAATTTTTGTTCATCTAGAAAGTCTGACAGAGGTATGAGCAAGTGCTACTGTTGGGTAGATTTTCATTAAAAATGGGTGAACATGTTAAATTTTTGTCAACAGAGCCAACAGCATGTCAAAGCCTTCCCTTCCCAAGGCCACTTGAAGGCTGGGTGTGGCTGGCTGGAGGTGGGCGTAGCTGTATCTACATAAATTCCAAGAGGAACATTGCCTTCTGGAAGGTCTGATACACCACCACTAGGGTGATGGACTGGGATAATGAATTACAGAGATATCCCACAGAGAGGCATGGGAAGGGAAACCAGTAAGGCAGGTACAAGTAAGTGGAAAGAAGTTCCATTCCAGCTAGAAAAAAGTTAAGAGTAAAGGCTTTTCCTTGGACTGAAGCAATGCACAGAGAGGCTGCCTTTACTCAGTTCCGTTAACTGATCTGCTTCACTTTTATAGTGGTTGATAAGTACTTGGGAGTCACTTAAATATATATGGTATATCTTCCACTTCACGTGCTGGTTTAAAATGTAGTATGAAAAAAACAACTCTTGGTACAGAGGATCCACCTTACTACTTGGTTTCCTAATTCGTCATGTGGTCAAATCAAGTGACCGCCACATGCTGAACTCTCTTCTGCTGCATCCATCTCACTGATGATCAGAGATGCCGGGATTTAAGTGAAGAGTAAGGCTGGTCCCTCAACCTAAAGCAGCAGTATGTGGAGCACAGATGGCCATCCTTGGCTTTGACAAAAGGTGGAATTAAAATAGACCTTTTCTGGATCACCAAGGATTATGCTCGTAGACGGCAGTGATGGGCACTTAAAATTAGCCGTTAGTACTTGTGTCAGTTTACATCTCGCTTACTGCAGTATTTATTTATTTTTTTATTAGGAAATGCAGCAAGGTGCGCAGTATACCAACATCATACAAAAGGCAGGAACGCTAGTTCTATGTGCACGGTCATAGTGTAAATTGGTATCGCCCCCAAGGAGATAGCAGGCATTTGCTCTTGCATTTCCAGAGACCTTGCATCTTATAAATGGTTCTTGAAAACTGCAGTAGTCTGATTTCACTTTTTTTTTTTTTTTCCTGAATCTTGGTTAAGTACTTTAAGGGAATGTGTACTGCCTTACTCTCATAAAATGTGTACGTACAGCTGTTTATTTGCTACTTGGCTACTGTATGCTGTATCTGCCGTACAACTAATTTTAAAATAGCCCATGCTTCCCTCTTAACTGTATTTTCAGAAATTCTAGGTAATTCCTCTAAGTGTACTGAATAAGCAGTATGTAAAACTGAAGCAGGGAAGCAAAAAGATCTACTCAAGAGCATAAACTTGACCTAACGCCAGTGATAGAGCATGTGTCTTAAAGATTGCACCCACTGATGAATCTGCTGGGGAACGCTGGCTCCCACCCTGGAGAAGGCAAATGGAAGACTCTCCTATTTCATCTCCATGTCTTCAGCCCTCCTGTATAAATGCAGAGAATGGTGGGTTGGAGCGGTTTGGCGATGTTCAAATGTGAGTCAAAGAAAAACTAATGTTGATCTTACAAACAGAAGGCAAGCTGGGCAGCAGGTTGAAGGGAAGCCAGTGAATTTTGCGGAGCAAAGGTGCGACTCTCTGCAGGATGAGCTAGCTATGTAAGGATGACATTCATCTCCTTCTATTTAAGGTATTTTAAAATAAGCTAAGGTAGTTGCCTAGGCTCTATCTTCAGTAAATGGAAAAGATGATTATCTTGAGAGGGTGATCCACCCTCCCTGTTGTAGTGCGTGACAAATTGCCTGTTTGAACTGCCTGTTCCTTTCCATTGACTGTTGAGGTACCTTTGACCAACTGAACTTCAGTATGATTTCTGATAATGAGACTTAGTAACTCATTTCATATTGACTGGCTCTGCTGAACGTATTGGCAAAGTAGTCTAATTTAGGGATGATATAACCATTTGTAAATGGCAAAATCTTTTCCAAAAAAGATTTTTTTTCTCGGTTGTTTTCAGAGCATACCCAGAAATGATGTATAGGTGGGGAAGAAAAGTCTCCATTTGTTTGCAGATAGCATCCTGCTCCTGACATCAAGGGACTTTTGAGGGCAAAAGCTACAGCAAGAGAATCAGATGCTTCTATCCGTGGAGTGGTGGTTTTGATTCACCATACTGGTCAGGGCTGCACTGATGCCATAGAAAAAAGAAAAACCCCAAAATACCATGTTGCTGCCCAATGTGACCATAGCATCACATTCAAACAACAGTTTTTACAATACAATGGAGACTGGGAGCTTAATTTCCATCACCTGTGGACACTTTGCATCACCTATGATGGCCAATTTCTGTAACAGACTGAAAATATTAATCAGAATTTTTTTCTGATGGAGCTTACAACCTTCTTTCCCCACTCTCTAACCCTCCCTCCTGCCCTCTTACAGGAAAAAAATTAAAAACAAACAAAAAAGCCATAATCTCTCCCTAACAATTGGATGGTACCGCCCAAGATGCTGTATTTGCTCTCTTGCAGCAGTATTGTGATGCTTTTGCTTCCTGTGATTTTCAGTAGCTGCTATGAACTTGTCTGCCTAGCAAGTTAGGACCTCCTGGGTTTAGACCTGCTTAATGGAATGATAACATTCCTGTCCTCGTTGCTGTCCTCCTGTATGGCTTTCGGCAAGGCGTTTGCCCTGCTCGCTGTACCTCTCTTCCTCCCACACGTTGTCTGATGTCTTTTTGGAACATATGGGGGGTTTTGGAGCTGGAATCATTGCTGTTTATGTCTTTGTATGAGAAACAGTTGTAGTGCCAGAGAATACAAATAGTAGCAGCACAAATTAAAAACAACTGCGTGGAGACTTATGAATAAGAAGAGTTTAATAGTCCCTGTATCAGCACTGAAAGAGTGAAAATGCTTTAGAAGAACTTCCCTTGGCATTCAGAGAAATGCAAGCTCCTTCTCTTCTCCGGAGCTACCAGATGTTGTGTGGCAGGTTCAGGGTGGTCTTCCTGTCTCAAGCATCACTTAGGGGTGTCCTTCTGGAGTGCTGTAAGGTTGCCTTGATTTCTTAGAGGACTAGCTGGCTGCGTTTGGGTCAATGAGACTCCCTTGGAAGAAACATCCCCAAAGAGTAAGGTTTGTCACTTGTGGGATTGCTTTTGTTGATTGTTTTTTTCTTGTTAATTTGCTGAATGTACTCAAATGTGATGGCATTGATTCAAACAAAGCAAATGGGTCTATGAACACTGAGGCTTGTGAAGCTTTCCTATCAATTTGTGGTCTTCTTGCTGAAGTCTGGTGGCTGGTCATCTGTAAGAGCCAACAGCAGGTTGTCCTGCAAACAGCTACCAGGAAAGGTCAGGCCGTGAGCTTAAAGGCAATTCATTATTACTTTTAGGGAATCTGCACGAGGGTGGTACAACCTGTATTCTGTACTTATAATGCTAAGAAAGAGAAAGTCTGAATTAAGTGAGACAGTTCTTGTAGTTTAAGCTTTTCTCATTTTTAAGTATTGAAGAGCTCAGAATTGACGAGGAACAGTGTTTTGATAAGGCTGACTGCTTAAAAAAGCAGCCCCTCGAATTTTTACAAGTAGTTGATTTTTTTTTTTTTTAACCTTTTAAATCTAATGATCTGCTTCTGGGTTCCAGAGCAAAAATAACAGTAACTGAGTTCAATAGTCCCAGAGGAGGCACAATGACAGGGCCACAGAAGGAACAGTTTCAAATACAGGTGAGTGTGAGTTGGCTTTGTGGTATTTATAATCTAGGGGGACTATCTTAAGGCAGGCTGCGGTCCTTCCACGGTGACACCACTGCTGGTCTTAAAATCCAAGCAATCCACATTTCTCTGAGGAGGCGACAGTACTCTGCCAAATCAAGTGGTCATCATTCTGGTACAATTTAATGGAAAACTGTCGAGCTGAATTTTTGACTGTCCTGCTTTTTGATCAAAATCCAACCTTGTGTTCTCTCTATAATTATTTCATTCTACTGTTTTTTGGGGTTTTTAAATTATTTGTCAGAGCTGCAGGTGTTACAGTACAGTATGATAGCATGGGTTACCAGTATGTCTTATGAGTGCCTCTTGCTGTACCCTGTCTTGAGATCCGTGTGCTGAGGAGCAAACAAGTAACATGTAAAAGTCATTAAGAGACACTAACTTGTGGGCAGATCCAATCCAAACAAAATAAATGGATGGAGGAAGCCAGTTTCATCCAACTGCCATGCTAGAAGCTAAGGTAGGAGACCATGTTGGCCGGGAACAGGGAAGAGAAACCAGGCTTGAGTGGTGGGACTCTTGGAGGAGGGGGAGAAAGCTCCAGGTAGGAGCGAGGAAGCCAGGGGTGCTGCTTTTCTAGCATGAGAGGCTGTTTCTGGCTGCAGGACCAGACAAGAGGGGGGCCTGAGTGGCTGGTTTCTTCTGGTTGTCCAGAGAAGTCAGAGGAGGAGAAGGACATCCGAGAAGC